GTTTATATAACTGGTGGTATAGTGTGTATTGTTTATATAACTGGTGGTATAGTGTTTCATTGTTTATATAACTGGTGGTACAGTGTGTATTGTTTATATAACTGGTGGTACAGTGTGTTATTGTTTATATAACTGGTGGTTATAGTGTGTATTGTTTATATAACTGATGGTACAGTGTGTATTGTTTATATAACTGATGGTACAGTGTGTATTGTTTATATAACTGGTGGTACAGTGTGCATTGTTTATATAACTGGTGGTACAGTGTGTATTGTTTATATAACTGGTGGTATAGTGTGTATTGTTTATATAACTGATGGTACAGTGTGTATTGTTTATATAACTGATGGTACAGTGTGTATTGTTTATATAACTGGTGGTACAGTGTGTATTGTTTATATAACTGATGGTATAGTGTGTATTGTTTATATAACTGTTGGTATAGTGTGTATTGTTTATATAACTGGTGGTACAGTGTGTATTGTTTATATAACTGGTGGTACAGGGGTGTATTGTTTATATAACTGATGGTTCAGTGTGTATTGTTTATATAACTGGTGGTATAGTGTGTATTGTTTATATAACTGGTGGTATAGTGTGCATTGTTTATATAACTGGTGGTACAGTGTGTATTGTTTATATAACTGGTGGTACAGTGTGTATTGTTTATATAACTGGTGGTATAGTGTGTATTGTTTATATAACTGATGGTACAGTGTGTATTGTTTATATAACTGATGGTACAGTGTGTATTGTTTATATAACTGGTGGTACAGTGTGTATTGTTTATATAACTGGTGGTACAGTGTGTATTGTTTATATAACTGGTGGTATAGTGTGTATTGTTTATATAACTGATGGTACAGTGTGTATTGTTTATATAACTGATGGTACAGTGTGTATTGTTTATATAACTGGTGGTACAGTGTGTATTGTTTATATAATGATGGTATATGTGTGTATTGTTTATATAACTGGTGGTATAGTGTGTATTGTTTATATAACTGATGGTTCAGTGTGTATTGTTTATATAACTGGTGGTTCAGTGTGTATTGTTTATATAACTGATGGTATAGTGTGCATTGTTTATATAACTGGTGGTACAGTGTGTATTGTTTATATAACTGATGGTATAGTGTGTATTGTTTATATAACTGATGGTATAGTGTGTATTGTTTATATAACTGGTGGTTCAGTGTGTATTGTTTATATAACTGATGGTTCAGTGTGTATTGTTTATATAAGTGATGGTTCAGTGTGTATTGTTTATATAACTGGTGGTACAGTGTGTATTGTTTATATAACTGATGGTATAGTGTGTATTGTTTATATAACTGATGGTATAGTGTGTATTTTTATATAACTGGTGGTTCAGTGTGTATTGTTTATATAAAATGATGGTTCAGTGTGTATTGTTTATATAAGTGATGGGTTCAGTGTGTATTTTTATATACTGGGGGTACAGTGTGTATTGTTTATATAACTGATGGTATAGTGTGTATTGTTTATATAACTGATGGTATAGTGTGTATTGTTTATATAACTGGTGGTTCAGTGTGTATTGTTTATATAAGTGATGGTTCAGTGTGTATTGTTTATATAAGTGATGGTTCAGTGTGTACAATATACACATCATAAAGAGTGAATTATGTACTGTCTACACAATACTTAAAATAATATCTATATTCATTATAGGAAATATTCGACTCCTTATAATTATCATGGATGTTAAGGTAAAAATATTCTCACCAGGATATTCCCAGCTGCAGGAAAATACCATAATTCTAAAAAAAAAAAATTATAATCCTATATACATTAAAATACACGCCATACATGACAAAAACGGGGGTTTATAATTAGTAAGTTTATTCAGGTATACATAAATAGTTACATTATCATACATAGTATATATGTAGAAACCCTGGGATAACCCAAAAAAGTCAGTGACTTATTTCTATTGGGGTCGTTTTCTGTCCTACCTTGAGTTACCATGATGTAGTGCTGTAGCAGTAGCCCAGGCTGCTGTCATGAGTACTGGGATGCCCCAGCCTACTGCATGATACACGCTGTAGTAGAATCTATGTTGAAACACCGTCACTGTGGAGGGGAGAGCGAGGGGGGTTAATGTTGGGGAGAAAGAAGGGTGGAGAATTAGGAGGGGGGTGAATAGGGAGACAGAGGGAAGGGGGGGAGGAATGTAGGTGTTAATGGATAGAGGAATAGAGATATAAATAGGCTTATGTGCTATTAATGATTGTCTATTCAAATATATCGAAATTGTTCTGCTAGCACCTTTCTGTGTTGTCTCTCCAGGCATCTCTCTCTCTCTCTCTCTCTCTCTCTCTCTCTCTCTCTCTCTCTCTCTCTCTCTCTCTCTCTCCTCTCTCTCTCTCTCTCTCTTGCACAATCCATAAAAACTGTAATATACTTAATTTGCATATTCATCAGAGTAGCTACGTGATAAGTTATAACCTTCATCGTGGCTGCATCAGCCCGCATATGGTTAATATAAAACATTAAGTTGATTGTTAATTAATTGAGTTCCAAACTACGCCTCTCTCTCTCTCCTACTTTGAGCCAATTTAATATCACGGTCTTGTATACAGTATAATCAATATTTTGTGCGTGTTAAAGGCGAGGTGGTACAGGCAGGGATTATTATTGTTATTATTAATGCTATTAGTACTTGCCATTATTATTATTATTACTTTCATTAGCATTTAATTGGATGGCTGGTTATTTGAACTTAGAATTAAGCCTAATATATATATATATATATATATATATATATATATATATATATATATATATATATATATATATATTATATATATATATATATATATATATATATATATGAGATATACTCATCAGAATATGGTTAATAGGGTTTAAAGCCTATCGACTACACTAGGGTCATCAAGTCTGTTCGTACCTTTTAACCACCAGACTAAAATATTTTGTATTTATATAATTTAAAGAAAACTTACCAAAATTGAGTAGTTATCGTGGCAGGAGTGTGAGGGAGAGTGAGGGAGAGTGAGGGAGAGTGAGGGAGAGTGAGGGAGAGTGAGGGAGAGTGAGGGAGAGTGAGGGAGAGTGAGGGAGAGTGAGGGAGAGTGAGGGAGAGTGAGGGAGAGTGAGGGAGAGTGAGGGAGAGTGAGGGAGAGTGAGGGAGAGGGGGATACTACTCTATTTAGCCTCGCAGTCAACTGGTTTAGAATTGAAATACCATTAACCTAATGTTTTAATGTAATTTTTTAACGCTATCTCTTTTGGAACTAGAATTTAATAGTGCATTTTTAATTTCATATACGTTTGTAGAAAATAGGTAGCGTGAATATTTACACGTGTGTGTTGATCCGGATACGTACGCATTTTCGTTTACACACACAGGTACACACACGATGATAAGAGGAATCGATACCATGCCTAACCCTTCTAGGGTAGGGTAGGTGCCTGAGCCCGAGCCTTTAGCTCATAAGACTGTCATTCCCATTTGTCCCCTTGGGGCGGGGATGGCAGACCAGAGAGGCCTAGCTTGTGGCTAGGCCTGGGGACAGTTGGTCCCAAAGATGAGGAGGTACTTGTGCCTCCTCCCATGGGAGACTTAGGTCTCAGACACTCCCTAAAGAGGGAAAAGGCCCGGGCCGGGAGAATACCGGCGAATCTTTAATAATAATGATAAGAGAGAGATGCATCGACACCATGCCCAGCCATTCTAGGGCAGGGTAGGTACCTGAGCCCGAGCTCAGGCACCTACCGGCGAATCTTTAATGATAAATAATAATAGATAAGAGGACAGGTAAAGGATTAGACACATGTGCAACATCTGGGTGTCTTTATTGGTAGACGTTTCGCCAACCAGTGGTTTTTATCAATATAAATTCAGTGACTACGGTACTCATCACCACCTTTAAGACTGGGGGACTGATTACCTCCTTCATTCTTCCTGTAATGTCCTTGAATTTGTACTGATAAAACCACTGGTTGGCGAAACGTCTACCAGTTAAGATACCCAGATACTGCACATGGTTGGTCAGGCTGTGATCCATCACGAGGCTTGGTCATGGACCTGGCCGCGGGGGCGTTGACCCCCGGAACTCCCTCCAGGTATACTCCAGGTGTCTAATTCATCTTGTCGGCATTGTACACCATTCACGTGCAAGAGAACACGTACCTGTTATTTTGTTATGCAGGTACAGGCCTTCAATGAACATCCACATGAACATGGCCGTGCGGGCGTACTCCAGGAGTATATATGACGCCTCGCATAACACAGGCTGCAGAGGAAGAACACATGAACACATTCAAGAACACCAGAGAGCACTCATGAACACTACTGGAACAAAATTATTTTAGCACAAACTTATCTTAACTGCTGAACATATCTGAACACGGCTTATAAACGGATGAATATTTCTTTGTACACAAACGAACACCGACTTAGCTCTAAATAGAACTTCTTGAACTAACTTAAACACTGCACGATCACGCTCTAACAATAACTAGAACACGATTTTGTTCAAACTAGACTTCTGTGAGTGTTCACGCATGTTCAAGGAGCGATATATCTTGACAGAACAAACAATGAACACGGATCACATTTAAGACCTGATGTGAACACAAGTTATTACTGTCGATAACTAATTTATTTTAACCATTAACTGAAGAACTGATGCGAATAATAATAATAATAATAATAATAATAATAATAATAATAATAATAATAATAATAATAATAATACCACTACTACTAACATTATTATTATTCCATATAGTCGTAGTATATTTACACCAAAAAAGAAGTCAGTTAATTAATTTTGCGGAAATTTATGAAAATAATTTTTAACGGGGTGGAGGGGTAAGCCAGCGGAAGGCCTCGGTCAGATGACCAAAAGCTCCAGTTGTGGGTCATCATCTGACTGAGACCTGCGTCAGGAAACACACACACACACACAAATACACACACACATACACACATACACACACACACACATACACCATTGCGTTAAAAGAGACTGGGAACAATAATTAAAATTCTTGGTTTAGAAAAACACGTAAGCAAACACTAGGACATATTTATTAGGAAACGTTTCGGTCCTGAGACCTTGATCACTTCTCCAGGTCTCAGGACCGAAACGTTTTCTAATAAATATGTCCTAGTGTTTCCTTACACGTTTTTCTAAACCAACTTGTCGGTAATTATTACCAAGGTTTATACCACTGAAATTCTTAAACTAGAATGTTGTGAGCTCTAACCACCGTCTCGGTTGACTGTTTGATAAAACCTTCAGAATAAACCTCAGAGTCACATTTGACATTCAATTCAGTGTGTTTTTTTTTTTTTGCTAAATACTAAATGAGGTATACAATATCTCGGGAGGTGAAAATGACGTTTTCATAGAGTTTTAGGTCAATTTTGACGTTTTTTTCCGCCTGTTGATGGTATTCTCATTTCAGGTCACTCACACCCCATTCTCCGCCTGTATACACTGTCTTTTTACCTCTGTATCTTAGAAGTGGTCAAGATCTCAGGACCTAAACGTTTTCTAGTATGTCCTAGTGTTTGCCTACGTGTTTTTCTAAAGCAGTTTGTCGGTATCTATTACCAAAGTTCATACCAGGAGAAAGAAAAGCAACATCTCGCTGTGTTTATAAAAAAAAGGACAGTCAGTAGCCCCGCACTCCAGAACAACAATAATTAATGCCATTTAAAGTCCCCTTCCTCCCCCCACATTCCATCAATATGACAACATTTGTAGTTGCAAATATACAGGGGTCTAAAGCCAGCAACAAACAATAAAATACCTTTGTGGACTGCTCACAGAGTCAAATGCAATGTTTGTAGCTTTCACAGAGACCCACACAAAGGATCACTTTGACAACGAAATATGGATCCCAGGGTATAAGTTATTGGGATATGTGACAGAATAAACAGGTAACAAGGGGAGGGTTGGCTAGTATGTCACAGAGTCGCTCATTTGCTCGGAATTACTGAGCACCAGGTATACTCCTGGTTTACTCCAGGTATACTCCTGGTATACGTCAGGTATAGACGACTCTAGCAACGAAATAACAAAATACAACGTTATGTCCCTGCGGTTTAAAAATAAGAAAAATTGTATTAAGGGAGTTTGTTCAGCTCGAGAGCACACAACACTACGCTTATGTAAGTTCTATCTTCCCCGCCTTCCAACCCAGCAAATGCTGTACATACATGCAGAATGCGATGCCAGCAATGCTGCAGTCAGCAGCGGAACGTAATCTTTCCTCACAGGGCGTTCAGCGTGTAGTTCCTCGGCGTCAACACCTAGGAGTGAGTTGGTGAGTCTTCAGTGTGTCTTTTGTGATCTTCACTGAGGTGCGAGGTGTTGCCAGCCTGGCGTGAAAACTTGCCTTATTGTGAACCCAAGAAATTTTCTCTTCCAGTTGGTAACAGTGTATTTTACGTACGTGTTAGTTTTCGTGTGAGATGGGAGTCTCAGAGTCACATAGGAGTCTCAAAGTCACCCAGGAATCTCAGTCACCCAGAAGTCTCAGCGTCACCCAGGGGTCTCAGAGTCACCTAGGAGTCTTAGTCATCTAGGAGTCTTAGAGTCACCTAGGAATCTCAGAGTCACCCAGGAGTTTCAGTCGCCCAGAAGTCTCAGCGTCACCCAGGGATCTCAGAGTGACCTAGGAGTCTCAAAGTCACCCAGGAGTCTCAGTCACCCAGAAGTCTCAGCGTCACCCAGGGGTCTCAGAGTCACCTAGGAGTCTTAGTCATCTAGGAGTCTTAGAGTCACCTAGGAGTCTCAGAGTCACCCAGGAGCCTAAGAGTCACCCAGGAGTCTCAGAGTCACCTAGGAGTCTCTAAATCACCCAGGAGTTTCAGTCACCCAGGAGTCTCAGAGTCACCTATGAGTCTCAGAGTAACCTAGGAGTCTCAGAGTCACCTAGGAGTTTCACCTAGGAGACGTGCTACGACGCTGCCCCTGCCGTGAGGCTGGGTGTAGCAAGGGCGTACCTAGGAGTCAATCTCGCTGTCCCTACCGTGAGGCTGGGTCCAGCGAGGATATACCTGGGAGTCAGTCTCGTATCGTCAAGGTAGTCACATCAGACTGCAGGCTAGGCTTCCCACCACGTATATACTCAATATAACATTCTCACTGAGTTATTCACTATTACTCCACTATAATAATGGCTTTACTGGGTTATCTTAGCGACTTGACTGGGTTATTTAAGTGACTTTACTGGACTAACCCATCTTAGCGACTATAGAGGCCATCAAGTAACCTTTATCCCAGCATATCTTGCGTTATCTTAAGGTTATCTTAGTTATAACTCACAGTGTTATCGATGCCCTGCCTGGAGGAGTTGATGTGGCCAGCGGAGTGGCCAGCAGAGTGGCCCCGGATGATGGCCTGGTCGATGTACAGCACCAGGCGGATCATCACTTGGATCACCATAGCCACGAAAAGGTTACGATGGATCCTGGTTCGGTTGTTCTTCAGGCTC